GGAAGACAGGCGCTCCCCGCCCATGGCCAGACTTCTTATTTTTTAATTAACCGTTTGCCCATTACTTACTGATTTATAAATATTCTGATCTACATTCCAGCTATCAGGTCCTCTGTCAGATGTAAAGTTAAGGACATCTTGCTGAGACCTGACTTCCTGGCTCTATCCCATGTTCTCTCTTTGAAATCACCATAACTTCTTCTATGGGCAGATAACACTTAAGTCTCATGAAAATTTTCATGTATTAAAAAATAAAGGAAGCAAAAGAAAACCAAAGTCAGAAAAGAAATGTTTACCACAAAAATGACTGTAAGAATGATTGTTTCAGTTACTTTAAGAGTCTGATTCAAAATGAAAAAGAGGGAGAAGTCATCAAGAGCTCAACACAGTGACAGAAAAATCAGACCGTCATGTATTTTGAAAAAGAGAAAACAAGTAACTCACAACCGTAAAAAAACATTCACGGTCATGTATAGTCAAATAAATGTAAAGCAATTTTAAAATAATTCATAGTGCAGTCAAAGAGGGTGAAACAGGTACCTTCATATATTGACATCTCATATATGCCGGGCAGCAATATAAACAGATCAGCTTTAAGTCATTTTTAACAAATTTAACAAAAATTAGGAATGTTCAAGCCGATAGGTACCATAAATGATGCCACTTTTGAGAATACATTTTAAAGAAAAATATAAATGAACAGATTTATCAGTAGATTATATGGGGGTATATACATGTTTTATATGTGGTCATTTTTATAATGTGAACAATGTAAGTGTAGAAAAATGGTTAAATATATAATCTAATAGAACAGCATGCAATGAGGCTATATAACATCAAAATTAGGTCATATTAAGTGAATAGATGTAAAATTAATTTTTGAATGTCAAATCATGCATATAAAGACCAAAATATTAACAAACATTAGGATCTTATGATTATAGGAGGTTCCCCCCCCATTTTACAGAGTTTCTATAATCTTACTGTATTGCCTTCCTAACTTAAAAAGTTGTGTTTTTGTTCTTTTTTTGTCTTTTTGAGACAGGTTCTCACTATGCAGTTCAGGCTGGCCTTCAGCTCACTTTGTAGCCCAGGCTGGCCTTCAGCTCACTTTGAAGCCCAGGCTGGCCTCGAGCTCACTTTGAAGC